AACAGATATTTTCTCTATTTATAAGACTTTCCTCTTAACGATTCATCTGCATTAAAGATGCAGCGGGAGCAGGGGGCTGTTTACAACACAGTTGCAATGTAGAAAGGTTTTACTCATGCTTTTGTGTTCCTAAGCTACAAAATGCAGTAGTTCTCAAATGAGAGGTTTTGCTCTTGGACTTGGAAAATGGAGTTATGAGCCCACAGAAGCAGAAAAGCAGAAAAATGTTGATATAAGACATAAATTTAAAATGCAAAGAACCCAGAGGGTATCTGCTCCACACTGACTTAGTACTGCATTTTGAAACAAAAATTTCATTTGTACCTGTCTTTATCAAGAGTGTAGTCTCAATGGACACAGAGGGCCTAATCCTCAGGTTCAACAGGACGCTTAGGGCCAAACAGGTCCAGACAACCCATAAAATCCAAGGTGTCCTACATAAGATGGTCAACATAGCTTCCTCTGAATCATTCCTCAGCATCCTCTGGCAGCCCAGCATGGGTGGACTTCTCCATCCATGGCTTTCAGCTCTTCCCATATTTCTGTGGTAGCTGGATTTACACAATTACAAACACACACACACACACACATATGTACTAGTATTAGAAGCCCAAATTATCTGGAAAAGCAACTTCAGCTCATTGCTCTAGGTATGTGCAGCTTAGCTGCACAGCAAGTCTGTGAGTTACATGAATTACGATTTACCTGTCTCCACTCAGTTCAGGGCCATGACTTAAAAATGAAGCACTAGGGATACATTGTTCAGATGAGTTTATTCAAACAAAACAGCAGCAAAATAACAGGATTCCCAGAAGAAAATGACCCTCTTTTCCACAAAACAGGGGAGAAAATAAAATGTTAGTAAAATAAATTACAGATTTTGGCCAAAAATGTTTTTAATTTCGTGATTCCAAGTTCAGCATGGATAGTCTCTCCATTAAAAGCCTTTGATATTCCTCAGAGAATTTAGTGTTCTCTGGAGAACCCTCTACAACGCTAACTACACTTAGGGATCAAGTCACAGACCACTAGTGTAAGTCGCAGGGCCAGATCCCATCCATCTTCCTCTCTCTGGGTGCTACCATGCTTCACCGTACCTTCTGGACAATCCCATTTTTAGTAATGGAACTGGTTGCAGACCACGATATTATGGAAAGTGATGTAAATTTTCAATGGTTATACAGCAGTTGTACCTATTTACAAATACAGACTACAGCTAAAAATTAACCAAATTAAACTTAAAATTATCTCATCAAAGGAAAAACATAAAGCACTGCAGAGTTATTCTTGACTTCACTTTCCAGGCCTTATAGTATTTTACTGCAGCAAGAATTACATTACGGGCATAAACCAGAATTATTTCACTTGCTAAAACTCCTAAAGACCTGCAAAAATATGGCGAATAGCATTAAAATGCCTATTTCAGCATTAAAAGGATGTACTTAAGCATACCTCTCCTCAGGAAAGCACATTATCACATGCTTATGAAGAGATGAATTCCTGTGTAAGTGCTTTTCTGAGCCAGAGCTCAAAAAATGCCCTGACGAAGCAGGTGAAACTCCAGAGGCTTTCAACCTCTCCAGATCTGTATGTGATCTCTCAAAATACAAATGGATCATCAGAGTCTTCAAAATTACCTGTACAGCTCACTCAAACTACATGGGTTTTCCATTGAGGAAAGCATTTATAATAACATTCTATAACATTTCTCTGGATTATAATTAGTTTTAAAAATTACAATTAGTGCAACAACTTTAATTCTTCGTCGTCGCTGTCAGTTACGACGACTAGCTGGATGCTGGAGGGAGTGGATGAGACGGCTGACAAAACCTCCTCCAACTCTCCAGTGTCCTGCTGTTGTAGGGGGCCTAAATACTGCTCCTTGTTGCAGCTGCTGTGACAGGACATTACTTCATGGTTCTCACAGCTGCCGTGGACCTCACGAACACTCTCGTTTGGGTATTCCCTGAAAGGATAGTCTCTGTCCATAGCTGAAAACATCATCTGCTGACTTTGGTGCTTATCTTCATAAAAGCCAAGGCATCCAGGCACCGAGCTGGAGAAATTTCCACAGCTAAACGGAGGTTGGCTGAATAGGCTTGTGCTGCAACGAAAGAGATTGAAAGTTGGCTTTCAGAAATGCAGGTTGCCTAGACTTCCATTCAGCCAAGAAAACCAGAATGACACTAAAGTTCTATGTTAGTCAGCTTATCCTGTTGAAATAGTCAAAACACACACGCTTTCAAATCATGCCTAACTTAAACACTAGGGCCATAACAAGAGTCATGCACAGATCCCATATCTGTGCATATGCACCTCTTCATGCTAGATACACACACGATGTCGCTTTGAAAACAAACACAAACCCCACTGTATTTATCAATGAAATAATATCATGGACAAACCAGCATCTGATAACCCTGCAGTATGTTAACCAACATACTCAGAGCAGTAAAACAAAGCATCAGAAGTCAGTTTGTGTTATTTCTGTATGACAAAATTTGTGACAGAGCTGGGATAAAACGCTCTTATTTGTTCTTTTGAGTGAACTCTTGCATCTGCAACGTTGTTATTAAACAGGAGGACTGCCAGAGAATCCTTGTGCCCAATATGTGGTTGTCAATGTTACTATTTAAAAATGTACAGTGATAAACTTTTAAAAAGTAACCACATACTAGATTGCAGGAGGTTACTATGCCACATGTAACTGTATTCCTCCAGTGTCAGAAGTTGGAATTTTTATTCTGATGCAGAATGACACACATATTGCAATTTACACAGTGTTACAGGAATTCACTACATTATTAAGAAAACAAAGTTGTGAAGAACAATTAGAGCTCTACAGTGCAGACATTCTAAAGACATCGATACAATATCTATCGAGGTTTCAAGGAGACTATTCATCTTTCCAATGCAATATTTAAATTTTTAGTGCATAAATCTATATACATACACTTGCACTGTCATTGCTACTCAGGAATTATTATTCTTGCGTGCAAGAAATGAGTTTATAGGAATGTGAACTTACAAGTCATTGTATTAGAAAGATCCTGGCATTAGCCAAGCTGGCAGCCTTCAGAAGTCCATTAATGTGTGAACTCAGAACAGCCTTTTATGGTACAAAACCACTCCTCTCCCTCACAAAACTGGCTAATTTCAGAGACCAAGGCCTAAGGAAAGGTCATCTTTAGCAATTTTGGGAATATGTGTCCTGTGTTTCTTTAAAGGACCTCAAAAATAGAAATATCTTGCACTGGACTTCTCAGCTTATAAAGTTCTTTTGAGTTTGATGGGTCATCATCAGCCCTAACTTATGGCCAGGCAGTCCTACTGCTGTAGGAACATACTGGTTGTTGCTATTAGTAGGATGAGCAGTGTATAAACGGGCAGAATTTAAGTCTAATACTCATAATAGTCTGTTATGTTTGATATTGCACATTCATGAAAGAAAACGGATGCCTTACAAAGAATAAGCACCAGCAGGCCATCAGACCTGTGTTTGAGCAGCACACCTGCTGCTGGGAGGGCACTGGTGCTTTCTGTGCATGCTTAGCTTAGGAAATACCCACGCGATATTACATGTGTTAGCTGGTGCCCAGAGACTGCAAAGGAAAAACTAGGAATCACTACTTAGATAAGAATTCTGGAGACATTTCCCACCAGGCTGGATTTCAGAAACATTGGTGGTTACGACAGCTGCATCATAGTACACAGGAGACATCTCACACACCTACTTTAATTCTATCCGACCATTTTGAAAATACATTTACACTATCTCTACCTAATGCTTTTTTGTACAAGTCAACTGCACCTAGACGCATAAAGCCCCATATTTACTGTGGGCTTGGGTGTCCCGATCACCGCAATAGTACTGTGGAGCCTTCAATAACTGGGCATACATTATGAGCAGCCTCTGGCCAGCAGTTCCCACCACACAGGAGCTATAGGAAGGTAAGAGCACCTTTCCTTCTGAATGCTCCATCTGCTTTCTGCAAGTCAAAAGACTCTCTGTCTTTTTAGCATTTGTTCTTACTGGTATTGAAATGAAGGGTTTCATTACCTCGAGGGGAAATAGTGAAGTCCAGGTTCAAAGTAAGGCTGGCAAACTGAAAACTGAGGAGGTACTCCAAACAGACTGGGTGGCTGCCCCACGGGAGGAGACCCATAGAGATGTGGGTAAAGAAAAGGGGTAGGTGGGGGAAGAGGAACACCTCTAGGAAAAATAGGAAGCCCTAGATACGTGTTTGGGGGCTCATTATTAGAGACAGAAAATCTGCCATTAGTGGTGGTTATGTTACTCGGGTTTCTGCTGAAGCTCTCCGTGAAAACAGGTGTAGATATCTTCAGGGAGCAATTGAGCCCAGGTGATATATCGAGAGCTTCTGCCTGAGCAGGTTCAGCAAAGTGCTGTGGTGAAATTACAGGGTGCAGGGGCAGGGTTGGAGGTGGAACAGCCACTGATACAGTGCTTGCACTAGTAGTCTGGAAAGGAGGAATTGGACCAGCATGTTGAATGGTAGAAGCCGGCAGGCAGGTGGCAGAAGGTGACTCACCTGTAGGAAACAAAACAGTTACTCATCAGACATGAATAAAGGAAGAGATTTCATAAACAGCAACGTAGCAAACTACAGCCAGAGCCAGAACCATTTTCCCCAAAACACTTTTTAGCATTACTTTCCTGCAACTCACAGTCATATGCCACTTCGCCTACATGTGGCCTGGCAGATGGGTTTGGAGCCCACACATTCAAGCTTCCTTCTACAGAAATCCAAGGGTGAAAGAAGAAGGAATCGAGCAGTGAGTGTTGAGGCTGTGAGGCTGGTGAGGGCTGTGTCTAATCCTGACATGGCCACAGAATGGGTTTGGAGCATGCATTTAGCACCTGAATCTCAGAAGACCTCCTAAGTCTACTAGCTGAAGTGAGTCAAATTCTTAACAGGTCTGTGTGGTGCCAAAGCAGCCGTGAGGAACAGAAGCAACAGTTAAAACATCCTATTCTCCAATGTTTTCTTATTTGTTTCACCAATGAACTTGCCCGCTAGCCAATTTCACTTTGAAACATTTTGCAGAACAGACACTTGAATGTACACTTTCACATCACACCTCATGTCAACAGGGCTGCCTTTATACAGAAAGATTTCAAAATGCATGGCATAAGTATTTTCAAACCCCGCTACCTAGTCTAAGAGTCTAAATTCCGAGTCAACAGGACTTAACACGCATCTAGATTTTTACAGTTTGTATTTAAGAATCATTTCAACCACAGCATAGTAAACTCTGGAATGAAACCTAGTAGGATCTGAGAACAGCATAACATTATAAAAATATACTAGGGTAAGAAAACAAAGAATACTTTATTCAGTCAAATTTACAGAAGGATTCGAGAAAGGATTACATCACTAACTCAGAACTTCACCAGAACAAAGCTGAGTGTCCTCTTATATACCCAAATAGCACCACACAGCCATACAGGCACTTCACTTTCTTGCCCCATTACAAAGAGAGCAGCCCTTGTCAGAATGCTTAAAGAGGAAAGTGCCATTGCCTGGATCTAAGCTCCTTGCTGCTGAAATCCACTATCCACACACTGACAGAGCCAGAGCTCTTTCACTACAAAATGTGCAGGTCAGCCATTACGCTTGACTGTGGGCTCTCACACTACGCCCTATTTTCACTGTCCATATCGACTTCTTATAAAAAAGAGGATCCTTCCAGGTTAGGTGCAACTTTTTAACGCATTCCTTCTGTAACCACATTTTTGTTTGCACAAAAGCTGAGCTCTGTACGCTTAAACTGTGGGCACTTGTAAAGTCCGTAACAACTACATATAGAACTGATCCAGGTGCACGTAGATACCAAAGTAACAGTTCATGGAAAATGTGCAAATGAAAAATTTCTTTTTCAGATTTAATGACTATTTTAATATTGCAGCACACACCTTACTAACATCCTACTAACTTCCTTTTTGATGCCCTCGTTGATAACTCTGTCTGCGGTCTCTTGCAAGCAGCCTAAGCTGTGGAGCACTTGCTCTAGAGCAATGGTGCCCTCACTACCAAGGAACATTAACACCACCAGCACCAGGGTGGAGGTGCCATGGACTAAGTTAATGAGATTTTTCAGGCTTAGTAGGGCAGGGTTAAGCAGTAGTGCAGTTAGAGCTGGTGTGGTAAGATACAGGTGAGGTGGAGACAGAACAAGAAAAAGAAGCAGCTGCAGCTTAACAGGAAGCAGGTGTTGAGTAACAGAGATACAAAAAGACCAAGAGGTAGCAGGAGGTAACCAGGAGCTACAAAGACAACACAGGGATCTGTAAATAACGAAGAAGCCAGAAGAATTTAAGAGGCTGAGGAGACAGTAGGCAGACATTAGGAAGCAGAGGGGCAGTGCAGAGGAGGACCGATGGAAACAGTGGTGTTAAGAAAGACTGAGAAATTGTTTTAACTGTATCTACAGTACCCTGTGTATAAATTTTACTACAATAGGTAAATTCTGAATTTTTAAGATTATTCACTACTGAAAACTCACAGACTGGATGTCCAACACTGTTCTTAACACTGGGGAAGACAACAGGGGAAGCAGGCGTCGGCAAGGGACAAATGCCAGCTGGATTTGTAGTGATGATAGTCTGAGAAGCGCTGGAAAATACAGCAGAGACAGGCAGTGGAAACTGCTTCTTTTTGCCTTGTCGTGGTTGATAAACCCAATCTGTCAAAGATGAAAAAAGATGCAGACATCCAAATTTGGGGACAGTCTCATTCTTTATGTAAAGCGATAATATCTGTAATTCTGAAGTATCTAAAAAAAAAAAAAGTCCAAAACCTGCTCCTGTAGTCAATGGCAATACTCCATTGTTTCTGTGAGCTAGCAAATGGGGCGTTTCATCAAAGGGGGAAACAAAATGGACATATTTGGGCATTGTTTTTGTCTTACTAAATGGTAGCTTGTTGTGAGACCAAGAAATGCAGAACAGTGGGGAGTGATGTGGCACAGTTGAGGAAAGTACATTAAGGAGAACGTGATGCTGTGCCATGGTCTTTCAGTGTGGAAGAAAAGCATGACTGTAGTCAAAACGTGGATCTTTCCTGGTTGTTTCCTTAACCCCTTAAGTCTCACATAGACCTGGGGGTTACAAGAGACAGTGGAAAGTATGACCCAGTAGGAATCCTGTGTGGATTTTGGCGGAATATGTTTGCCTTTGACTTACAACATTAACCAAACACTAACAGATGTATAAATATATTATGAATTTACACTGAGCAGCTCAGGTTCTTACACACGCTGACTCGTAATGCAATTTTAAAGAAGCCTTTTTTTTATCTTTTAAGGAGAGAGGGCAAGTGCTGCTTTTATCTTTTCCTTGTTTATGACAGATTAACCAGATCTTGTTGCTGGGATTAGCCATAATAATGAACTAGCAGGATTATGAAGACACAGAAACGATCGTGACACCTGGTATCTCAACCGCTTTTAAAAAGAGTGTTCAAAGCACTTATGCTGTTTTATTGAACTGCAGCATTATGGAGAAATGAATTTGGTAAGGGTACGAATTTTTAACCCTTTTGACAAAAAGCTGAGAAACAACATCTTTCACATCATTAGTTGGGAATCCCAAATCCACACTTGAAGAACCCACAGAATACAATGCTGTTTGTGCTTCCTGTGGCATTTCCCTCTCCTGCTTTTAAGGAATGGATGCATGTGTCACCACAGGCCACCTGGGCAGCTCTTCCTGGAGCGTGTAAAATGACACAGCAGGCCATGTTCACAATTAACTCACTGTCTGGCCGTTAGACTGCTAAAGCATTCAGAAGAGCTGCTGTAGCTGTGGTGGTCTAGGACCATAAGAAACATCAGAAGCTGTGAAGGATGAAACATCACTTTGGATGCTTTCAAAAATTAATATGCTTTGAGGCACTAAAAAGCTGACGGGAGGACTGTGTGTTTGAAATTTTTGCAGTTTTTTTCTAACTCTATTACTCGCTCTAATGAAAGAGATCCATTTTTTCAAAAAATCTTGCACTTCTAAAGCATTCAGGTAAATAAATACATGTTTACCAGGAAATTCCTCATTGTGCCTTTGTTTTATTTTCTGAGCTTCATCATAATAGGGCTTCTTCTGCTCTTCCGTCAGTTTGCTCCACTCCAATCCAAGCTGAACACTGATGTCCGTGTTACTGGCAGTCGGGTTAGCTTTTGCTAGGCCGGGCCGATGAATCCTAGCCCACACCATAAAGGCGTTCATTGGACGCTTTACACGGCCCCTTTTGTCCTTGCTAAACGGAGCATCTGGCATACCTATGCAACAGAACAAGGCACGATGGTCATATTCCAGGCAAGATACGCAATACAGGTTACGTTCCATGGTACATCAAGAGGGTATTTGACAACAGTCAGGAGAATCACTAGAGCTTTGGATCACATGAAATTCAATGCACATTTGGAGAAGAGTTCCCAGAAAAATAACTAAGGCTAAGGGAGCATCCTCCACAAACCTTCACTG